TAGCGGACCTGTTTTCCTCCCTTCCCATAGAATTTCAGAATTGCAGACACCTTAATCTAATCGTCATAAACAGTTCCCACACTCCGGACAGCTCGCCTTGACTACTTCCTTCACCACCTACGTGGTGGACCTGTTCTCCTTCCTTTCCATAGCGTTTTAGGATTGCAAATACCATAATCTAATTATCATACACAGTTCCCACGCTCCAGACAGCTCGCCTTGACTACTTCCTTCACCACTTCCTACGTCACGGACCTGTTTCCCTCCCTTCTAATAGCATTTTAGGATTGCCCATACCCTTATCTAATCGTCATAAACAGTTCCCACACTCCGGACAGCTCACCTTGACCACTTCCTTCACCGCTTCCTACGTCGCGGACCTGTTTCCCTTCCTTCCCATAGCATTTTAGGATTGCAGATACCCTAATCTTATCGTCATAAACAGTCCCCACACTCCGGACCGCTCGCATTTAGTACTTCCTTCATCACTTCCTACGTCACGGACCTGTTTCTCTCTATTCCCATAGCATTTTATGATTGCCTTTACTACTTCCTTCACCACTTCCTACGTCGCGGACCTGTTTCCTTCCCTTCCCATAGCATTTTAGGATTGCAGATACCTTAATCTAATCGTCATCAACAGATCCCAGACTTCGCGCTGCTACCCTTGACTACAATGTATCGAGTAATCTTCAGTATAATCTTTGCTAAATATTAACAAGGGATGTTTTTCCTTTTGTACTGTATTTGTAATTTGCTAATATACTGTGGGTAGTTGGCTTATTATGAACACATGCTACAACTTCAAGTCTTTTGTTTACTTTTTCCTTGTTATTTAATTCAGCCAACATGGTTACCTAGCAACCCATAAGACTAATGTTAAAAAAATGTGATTTTCAGTTTCATTTTTCTACGTAATTAGATTTTTGTTGGCAGTTCTAACTGCAGTAAACTCGTTTTTAGGCCAGAAATAAACTATTTACAACATTTGAAGAAAATCGTCGGAGCCGTTTTCGAGATCTTTGTGCAAGCAAGCATACATACATACAAGCAAACATTTCTCATATTAGAGTATAGGATTATTTCATTCTTTTTAGAGCGTTTTGAAGTCGGTTGTATTTTTTACAAAAATAAATTATTGGTAGTGGGGAAGTCGGTTAAAAAAAGGACCTCGGACGCTGAATTTTTATTTCAGGATTAGTGTTGCCTACAGTATTATTTTGAGCTTTCTGATTGGCTGAGGGAACATCATTACCGCAACGATACGGTTTGATGCCAGCGGCCTCGTCGATGTAGTGGATACAAGCGTCTACAGCCTGACTGATCACTTATTGCAAACGAAAAAAAACTGGCCAGTAGCCACTGAAGAAGAAGAAATAATTTTTGTCTGCTTGATTTAATGACGTGACGTATCGTCCTGGCTGTCGGCTGTGTTTTGGTTTAGCTGTTTGTTTTCATTACATCAAACAAAAGTGTAGTAGTATTTTGATTTTGTCTATTTCATTCTCCATTGCAATTATTCATTTTGTTTTCATGTAATGATTAAAAAGAAGTTCTTTTTCTTGTGATATTTATTTATGATCGCTGGACATGTAGATGTTGTGATATTTACGTTTTGTTATCCTATTGTGTAGTCTTGTAAAATATTAATCTTGTGGGTAGTGTTATACATTTTTACTGCATAGATTAAAATGCATTTCTGTGAATAAATAGCATGTTTACTAAACTTTATAAAAATGTACTTTTATCCTTTTGTAATTTTGCCCCTTTAATGTTTTTTTAGTGTATGCCTATGCCTACTCAATTTTTACATTTTATTCTTAATGATAATTAAAAATAAGACATTAGGCCTATGTCTATCATGGTTAACCTCCCGGCCAAGCCTATGAATTCTTGCTCCTTAGCATTCTTTTACACTCCATAGCAAAGATCTAAACATTTATAATGGCCGTTGAGTCTGAGTCTTTCACCATAGGCAATGCTATTTGACTTAGGATGAATGCAGGCTACATAAGTTACACTGAAAGTGCAATGGATGAAACTGTTGAGAGATTGTAATACGATTTTTGGGCAGACTTCCGTATCTGTTGGCACAAACAACCGAATGAGTAATTTTGATTATCCGATTGTTTAATTCGATATATTGTTTGGTTAGTTAAGTTAGGTTAACCTTACATAACTACCCAAACGATATATCGAATAATCGATATAGCCTATCGATCGATATTTTCATTCGGTTGTTTGTGCCAGCAGATATGGAAGTGTACCCCTGAATGAAAATATCGATTATTCGATTGTTTCATTCGATATATCGTTTGGTTAACTTACATTAGTTAGTTTAGGTTAACCTTACCTAACTAACCATGCGATAAGTATATCGAATAATGGATATAGGATATCGACCAATATTTTCATTCGGTTGTTTGTGCCAACAGATACGCAATTTTCTATCCGATATATTGATTATAAAAAAATATTGTAATGAAATAAAACTCTTTTAAACTAACCTGAATATCCCAACTTGCTGTAACATTTCAACTTTCCGTTAGCCCCGTTTGATAGCCTATTTCCCATATGCACTTTCTGTTATAAAACGGAATTTTGAAATAGTAACTTAGCCTACAGCAAGTTTGGTTAGTTATGTTAGGTTAGTTTAGAATAGTTTCATTTCCTACTCCAATATAGGCCTATGGGCTATTATTTTTGCCTAAACAAGGTTAGTTCTTAATTTGTAATTTTTGAGTTTGAAGATATTAAAACAGAAGGAATACGGATCGTGAAGTAAAACAAAAATATCGATAAATCAAAAAGAAATCATCGATATAATAATTAATGTTCCCTTTAACAGGAAAGTACCCAAACAAACTTTGTGGTCTGGTGAAAGCCCAGTGTTATACAATTTGCCAACTCCTGTTAAAAATCTGACCTTTGCCAAGTTAGAGCAGTATTTGGTGGAAGGAAATTTGTCTTTGGAGAAGTTCTTCCTGTATCCTTGGATTCAAATGTAATGAAGGATGTACTTGTAAACTGTTTGTTATGACCTAATCACTCTAAAAGTTACCGTGGCCGCCATACAAAAAAATTTCAGTTGGAATGAATTTCTAAATTTTTATCTTCTTTTTTGTCACTGTTCTCTGTATACCAGAGGCATTGGGTACACTTCAATATCTGTTAGCACAAACAACCGAATGAGTAATATAGATTATTCGATATATCGTTTGGTTAGTTAGGTTAGGTTAACCTTACCTAACTAACCAAACGATATATCGATCTATAGTTTCATTCGGTTGTTTTGTTTGTGCCAACAGATATGGAAGTGTACCAGAGGCATTTTGTAGGAGAGCTAATCACAAAAACATTAAAGGTAAAGTGTAAAGTTTAAAGGTAAAGTTTAAAAAGTTAAAGGTAAATAAACCCATCAAATGTTGTGGATGTGTCAGAAATCGAACCTGTCATTCTTGCTCTGAAGTCGAAGACACTAACCACAAAGTAGGCTAGCAACACACCACCTTGTATTTCCTTTCAAAAATTAAAAAGGTTAAATTTAAATACTTTAAATGGAAGTATAAACAATAAAATAATAATAATAACAATAATAATTACAAACCCCAATTCCAGTGAAGTGAATACAAGAGGCAACGTTTTCCAATCTACATCAAAAATTTGTAATTTTAAGTTGAGAATTTGTGTTGTATTGATTTTTGTTGATACCACTTTAATGGGACATTTTCGTAGCTTTGATGACGGAACATTTACGCCAAATTAAATTTACTTAAAAACAGTGATTACTTAATTATTACAACCCATGCAGTTCCTATTTCCTAGCCAAGCCTAGCATAGAGGACAATACAACACATTAGGACTAGTGTTATAGATTTGCCATTGGTTTCATCTAATCAGAATTAAATTTGGTTTGTTAACATAAAATTATACTAGCCTGGTAGGTTTAAACTAGGTTAATCCTCTAACCCTCATATCCAAGAAAGTATGAATGTGTGTAGTTTGTTTAGAACCTAACTTACTAATTTGGAAATCAAAGTAACAAATGGTGTAGCAATAATTTATAGAACAATACGATAAATAATAACATCGACATTAAAAATAGCTTATATTTATATAACTTAGTAGGATTCAAGGTGAAATAATATACAACAAAATATTAGTTGGTATTGAGGGTTGAGGTTATGTTATGCCTGTTTGACTTTGTTTATGCTCCTAAGAACAGACGACAGACCGCAGTCATCAACAAGATAGTTCTTCTTCTTCATGGGCCAGTTTTTTCGTTTGCAATAAGTGATCAGTCAGGCTGTAGACGCTTGTGTAGTGGATATATTGCTGGACTGATAATCCTAGGACCCATCCTAGGACCCGGGTTCGAATCCCACCCGTAGCACTATATTTTTGTATTGGATTTCGTCATTATCAACAAGTTTGGTTGGTTTGGTTAGGTTATGACGGTTTAATTTTATAGTTAAAACATTATAAAATTGAATTTGACCCATTTATAGTTTTATTTTATGAACAGAAATATTTTTTTCGATTAAACCTTCATTAGATTTTTCATTATCAGCAAGTCTGGTTAGTTTGGTTAGGTTATGATGGTTTAATTTTATAAATAAAAAATTATAAAATAGGATTTGAGGCATTTATAATTTTATTTTATGAACACAACTATTTTTTCGAACTATTTTTTCATTGTCAGCACGTTTGATTGGTTTGATTAGGTTATGACGGTTTAATTTCATAATAAAAAAAATATAAAATTGAATTTGAGGCATTTATAATTTTATTCTATGAACAAAACTAATTTTAGTCAATCAGAAGCCTCTAAATGACACTGTTGGCAAAATTAATCCTGAAAAACAAATTGTGCACCTCGGACTGGCTATTTTCGGTTTCATTCGGATTCGGAAGCGTTTGCGCTTGGCAAAGCGCGTTGAGGAGGGGGGGGGTTCTTCGTGCTTCGTCCTTCTCGTGGTCACGTGGTGTCTCTTAACAATCTAACCTCTTCTCTAGCTCTAGGCCTAAGCAGGCAGAAGGAAGAGATTAGATTAATCAAAATCAAGTAGAAAGTTTAAAACTGTTCACTGTTACTGTTATTGAGTTGACCGACTGATTGTTACTATTGTTAGGTCTATTAGAGCAAATTAAGGTGAGTCAATGTTTAATGCCCGAAGATTCTTTCTCTTTCCTAGCCTAGCCTATTTTAGATTAGTTGTGTCTAAGTATCAGTTTAAAGTATACACACTACACAGAGGATTCATCCTATCTTCAGTTACCTAACTTAAGAACAGGTATTAGAAGAATTTTTAGCCTTGGTTCAGGCCTAGTGTGTATCCCCGTTGAATGAAATCGAATGTAACGGAGGCCTAGAGCAGATCAAGTGAGTCGTTGATAAAGCCACTCCCACTACAGTATGGGAGTCGCTGGGGTACACTTCCATGTCTGTTGGCACAAACAACCGAATGAGTAATATTAATTATTCAATTTTTTAATTCGATATATCGATTGATATTTTCATTCGGTTGTTAGTGCCAACAGATATGGAAGTGTACCTACCCAGTCTCTGCCCTTAGTAGGCTTTAACCCTCCGAGTGTTATTTGTCGCTGCAGCGACACATAACACACTTTGTGTAGTGTTTTGTGTCGCTGCAGCGACTCACAAACACTGTTTACGGCGAAGGCTCTAAGTTATGACTGACAAAATCGGATTGAACTGGATCGAGTTAGGTATCGTTTTATTTGACAGATTCAGAGCTTTCTCCGGAGGTCTGTCTCTAAGCGCTTTTCATTTTAGTTCCGAAAATATTGTAGCAGACAGCTGACGTGCGTATTTGTAAACAGCTTGGTTAACCTCGGACCGATGACTGATGTGTTTTAATACCTACGTTTACCATTGTTTTAGTGTTCAAAAGTAAAAATCAAAAGTAGTGATATACGTAGTGCATTATAAGAAGATAGTGATTTTGAAGGGCTGGTTGATGATCCTGAAGAAGTAGGTAGTGATATTGATGTTAATTATCAGCCAGATTCCTAACTAACTTATGGTTAGGCTATGCATTCTTAGCTAAACGCTATGTACTGAAATCTGTTTTTCACTCATTTATTTGATAGGCCTAACTTACCTCACTATATGATTATATATTTGTAATCCTCATAAAATTTAGAACAAAGTGGCTATTTTCAAATATTTATAGGCCTATAAATTATACAATTTCATTGAGCGCGAACTTATTTTTTTTTTAATTTTCCAAAAATTTTTTTTTTACCTAAAAATTTTTTTTTAACAAATGTTCTTATGTTTTATATAATATTATATAATATATATATATTTATATAATATATAATATATTTATATAATATATATATTTTATATAATATTGAAGCCCATGATTTTCCAATGGTATATGAAACAGTATAATTAACATTGTTTTTAAGCTTCTCAGATCCGTTTTAATAAAACCTTGCAAATGAGCAAAAAATAGGCAGACATTTAGGCCAAAACAAGGGACACTCGGAGGGTTAAACTTACTTAGGCTAAGTTAAGCTACCGGTATGTCAAACGTTGGCAATCCTTGATCCTGCAAAACCCACCTCGCCTATAGGCCTACTGATTTTGGCTGTCCAATTAGTGCTTTTGTATGGTGCTAAAATCTGGGCCCATGCGCTACAGAAGCACGTCTTTCGGACCGGCTTTCCCTCAGAATCCAACATCGATGAGCCTTGCTAAGTCGCTTCTGCCTACTGAACGGTCTCTAAGCCTATAGTCATGGTGATTGCCAGTGTCATCCCTGTCTTCCATACTTTTATTGCCATTTGTGTTTGGGCAATTAGGCCTATTTAATAATTTACTTGGCCAACTTAATTATTGCGACTAACTTAATGTGACCGTGGGAACCTATATAGATATTTTACATATCATCAGAAACTGGATGTAGGCCTATAGCTGAAAATAACGGAGCAAAAACTTTTCCGCGCTGTCAAATATTAAGTTAACGTAGTTACCTACGGCTGTTTTAAGTTTGATTTAGGCTACCTTTGTAAATCTACTGATTAGTCAGTACCATTAACCCTTAGCCCTCAGGTTTTCAGCCTGGAATGATATCCACTACACCACCGAGACTGATGGCTTTTCACCGTATTGTTGCGGTAATGGTGTACCTTTTAAAAGCAGAGACTGACTTCACGCCATGAGAGCTAATAGAATTAAGTGCGTTGCACAGAGCGTCCCGTGAGCCTTGCGTAAACTGGACCCGTTAAGGCAGTACAGTTTTAACGACAATTACAGTTAACATAATTACAATACAGTTAACCATAATTCGGTAAAGCGGCAAGCAGTAGCAGACAAGAATAGAATGTAGATAAAGGATATAAAAACGACAAACTATCTTAGTTACCTTAGTTAAGTTTGTGGCCTCGAAAAATTTGTGTACCTCTATTTCCAGGTAAAAAGTGAGTCTTCTACTTTAATTACTCTGAATTAACGTAATATATCAAGTTTCTGGTGAGAAAATTCCATAGGCTAACAAATAGGTTAGGTCAACAAAACAAAGTAAATAAAACTTAAAAACTTAGAACTGAATTTTTCCACCGTTATTTCCAGTTCAAAATCTAGTTTTTGGTGATATATAAATCTATATAGGTCCCCATGGTCACGTTAGTCGCAATAAATACCTTTAGGCCTGCTTAAAGTTTTTACACGCACAATCCAAAAATGAAATCAGTTTTTGTCTGAGAGGTTCCTAAGTGGGCGTACAGTTAAATAATTAATATCAAGCTTCAGTTTTATTGAGTTATTCAGATATTTGTGGTTTGGACGAGTCCAAGTTCTAGCAGCGACTAACACTGAAAGGGGAGGAAGGTTTGTGGAGTGGAAACAGCTGTTTGCCTTTTACATTAGATCAGACGGCACACTGGTGTTCCGGGAGGCCTCTGTAGGTGTGCCGCAAAATTTTAAGTAGTTAAAAAATTTTTGATCAAGAAAGAAACTTTTAATGAGCAAACGTCGAGCACAAATTTCCCACTAGAACTCAAACCAGGGTTTATTAAATATTTCTCACTCATTATTGGTAAATTCATACAAAATTGTAATCAAGCTCAATGTTTTATTATTAAAACTTTCCACTTAATAAACACTAAATAATGTACACATGTTAGATAACTAATGTGAGTTTTATATTTTTTAACTTATATATATATATATATTTACTAGTAAAAAATAGGTTTTACGGAGTAAGATGTAATTAAAAAAAAGAGTTTTTTATGCACTTACTAAATGTAATTTTAACCAACGATATTTTGTAGACAAGTGTGCCGTGACTACAAACTTGTTCTAGTTAGTGTGCCCTGAACGGAAAAAGGTTGGGAAACACTGCATTAGATGATAAACAAACAAAATCATACATGACGACATGAGAGCAAAATCAGAATTACAATATGCAATCATTTGATTTGTAAAAGCAAATGGACTTTGATACCGCTTAGAAAATTCAGTAACTCAACTACGATTAATCACATCAACATAACTTATAAAAAATGGAATTTATTCTCGTACAATACAAGTAGGCCTTAAAGAAGCACTGCCACTTCAATAACGACATGATCGTCCTCATTTCAACCCTCAATGTCTGTTAACTAACGTGCAATAGTGCATAATCCCACAGTGCCTAAAAGTGAAAACGTGCCACAGTGCTAACTGATGCTGATGATTTCATGTATCAGCAACTAATAAATTATATTACATATCTAATAAGGAAACCCCAACAATGCGATATTCCATGCTTGATAATATTTAATTTCTTTAGCCCTAAGACATATAGGCTACTGCAGTAAAGAAGTTACAGTATTATTGAATCCCTCTCATATTAAATTAAGCTCAGCTAATCTAATCTAACCTAATCCAACCTAACCCAACCTCACTCTTAATTTTTCAAAATTCCATTTAATGACAGAAAAGGCATGTGAGGAAGATAGGTCGGACTTAATGCGGATTTGTGTCTGTATTAAGTCCTTTGAAGATAGGTTAGATTAGGTAGGTAAAGTTTAGGTTATAATGAACCGACTCATTAATTTATGTTACCTCCAGAGTGTTTTTGCACAATTAAAATAGTGGGTGAAACACAATGAAATAACAATACCTATCAAAAATGCTTGCACGTGCCTATTCGGTAAATCGGCCCTTCCTAGGCCTATTGTTTTAATAAAAATATTGTTCAAGTCTTAGCCTAGCTTTTGTAACTTATAGATAGAACCATAGGCCTACCCTATCTTTAACTCGTAGATTTATTTTAATTCTTTAGCCTACCGTACTAATTTTCTGATTTAGTTGTTGAATAATAAACTATTTAGCTTTTTGTTCTTTGTTGGCCTAATGCATTGCAACTGATTCTTTTTTGTGCTGGTGGGTACTAGGCCTACTGGACTACATAGTAATTTTTATCTTGTAAAGAAAAGTTTGATATTTTGTTTAACTGCCACTTCTGTTGATTTAAAATAAAAATATACTTTTAGGCTTTTCTGTGACAATGGACAGCTCAGGTGTAACTGATGCTCAAATATTAGGACTGAATATTGAGGAAGACGTAGATGATAATCAACATTTGCCTTTTGAAGATAACTCCATATCCACACGAAAAAAGAGGTAAGCAAATTAGGTTGGATAGCGCAGAAAGTTTTTTTTTATAAATGCTAATATTCATCAATCATTATGCTAGGTGTCCAGCTGACCCAGTAAATCAGGAATTATCCTTTCATTAACAACATTTATTTTGTTAAGTTATTCTTTCATGTCATTGTGTAAAGTAAGAAAATAGATATGAAATGAAAATTGTACATTTTTCAGGCAAAGTTAGGGCCACATGGCCCTTTCTTACACTTAACCTGACATTCAAAAATATAACAAAATAATGTTACATTGATTGGGATAAGCGGTAACAACAAATGCCCTGCCATAAGCTGTGGTCACATGATGAGGTATACGCAATGTGATCAAAGAATAACGAGACATTCGTAAACTACCCTGAGACACAAATTTAAAATCAGATTTGAAATATTTTAGGGAGCTTGTTTTCAAAACTGAAAAAACCAATGACAAAATTTTAATGAATCGTTGATCATTTAATTTCAGGATATGTGCCTCAATGTAATATGGTGTGATATGCTCCATACGTCGCAGACCATAGACAAATCTCAAACAATAATTCTGTGACCGCTGGAGCATACCACCTGAGTCACAGTCAAGTCATTGATCAATGAGTTGCAGTAACTGAAGTGGGGTAGTACAAGTGATTTGATCAAATGTAGTTTAGTGTGTTGTGGTAAAAAATTCTTTAATCTTTTCAATGAATGTATGAAGGCAAAAACCTTTTTTCGTGTGTCCGTAACTGCTATGTCCCAAGTAAGTGAAGAGTTGAAAGATATACCAAGATTCTTGACATTGTCGTAGTAAGGAAGTGCTTTACCATTAACTGTGATTGGGTTTATGGAGTCTAAGTCAATTGAAGGTCGAAGTTGAGAATGGCTAATGACAATCGGTTTTGTCTTTTCGATTTAGTCTCAGTCCAAGTAACGATTCGGTTGGCATCTTCATTGATCCTTCTGACACAGTCGTTTTCGTTGTTTGCAGTAAATTGGTCATAGATTTGTAAGTCGTCAGCGTACATGTGGTGTTTACAGTTGACTGAGGTCAAATTTATGTCATTGACGTACAGTACAAAGAGCAGAGGCCCAAGGATTGACCCTTGAGACACACCACATGTAACAGTCACCCAGTATGATCTTGTGTCACCTATCTTCACACTTTGCTGCCTATCTGACAGATAAGATCTCAGTCTCAGCCATTTAAGAGAATTATGGGAAAACCCTATGGCCCCTAATTTCTGAACCAGCAGGTCATGATTAACACAGTCAAATGCTTTAGAAAAATCAAATAGAGTTAGAATCGTTCCTTTTCAACGCTCCATAGCAAGTTTTATGTCTTCAGTCACTCGAAGGAGTGCTGTCTCTGTACTGTGTGCTGTCCTAAAACCAGATTGATAGTCAGATAAAATGTTATTTTCCGTGATGAATTCAGTGATTTGACAGTGAACGATTCTTTCTTTTGCATTAGTTAGCTCACTCTGAAGTAAAAAGTGTTGCGAAAAAGTCACTAGTGATATCTACGTATTAACTGAGATAATTGAGGATATCGCGGAGCCGAAATGACGCGTGATTTACTCTAACAAGTTCATCCCCTCTCCACCCAGTTATTGTTGGAGATGATCTTGAATGTGGCTGCAATTGAGGAAGACGATCTTAAATCTTGACGTGATTGTGGTTGATTTAGCCTAGCTGCGATAACAGGAGGTGTTCATGGGTGTTGTTGCTTCCAAGAGACAACTTTGTTGCAGTATTAACTCTGACATAAACAGTTTTTAAAGTCAAGCAAAAGTTGAGCCCAGGAACTGATTAAAAAGAAATTAAATAACATAACAAAGAGGACCAATTTTTACCATATATAGGACTACATTATATTATATATTTCATGAAACGTCCTCTAGACTTGATTTATTAGCATTTGAGATCCAAAATTTACGTATTCGCCATCACCATCAGCTGTCGTAATGACGCCCACAAAATTTAACCCAAAACGGTAATAAACATATAAAGAAACCTCAATATGGCTGCCACCTTCTTCCTCAAAACTCCACTAATGGACAGAGCTGCTCTCCAGTGAGCATTTTTTAAACTTCAATATGTGGTCCATGGAGGTTATGTCTAACCTTGTTGTTGGAGGCGGAATTAAACTTATTTATTTGGTAAAATATGTGCGGTGTGGTGCTACCTTCTCAAAATGTCTCCAAGACGATCGGGGTTCCTTGGTAGCAGCGTATAGCGTGGATCTGGCGTCTCGTTCTGGTTTAGCATGAGGGCGAAAATGCCAGGGAAATTAATTACTGCATAGACTTTGACTGGTAAACTGGTATATTAAAACATATATTTAGTACATGGGTAATTAATAACAAATCATAGTGCCGGTGGGCACTAGCGTGTAGGCGGGGGCGGCCCGAGTCACTGCAGGATTCCGAGTGCAAGTGGCCTCGTCCTGTCCTTGAGAGAGGGGGTAGCGTCGATTATCAGCTGTTTCTTGGCGGCAAATTCAAATTAGTAGCACCACATTTTTTGGGACAGATGGAAAGGAAATTTAATAGCTGAATTAATATATTTTTAGGTTTAGGCCCTAACACTTGTGGACAACTTTTGTCTTTATTTTTGTAAAAATGTTTAAGATGGTGTTGTGTCTAGGTTATATCTTTTATTACTGATATTGAGAATTTGTTGTATAAGGGGGGTTGTTTCATTGTGTGTGTAATGATGATGACTGTTTATTCCTAACACAGGTTACATCTTGACAGTGAATCATCTTCAGTAGACATTGAAGTCGGGAGTCTAACTGGCTTTATCATGGACAAAAGAATAAAACTAGAAAGCCACACAGAGGAAGAAGGCATTAGTTCACGTTTGATGCAAGAGAATAGTTGTGATGGTGAGATAATATATTTAAAGTACCTACATTTCTGTTTGAAATAATAACATGAAATTGGTGATTATCAATACCGGCACCACTATATAACATTTTAATTGTAACATTCACTGGCAGATTATTATCTAGAAAATGTCTCCTATCATTAGTGGGTTTTTTATTGAAAAGTTGTATATACAGGGTGGAAATAGTCCCGGAACAGTTAAATATGTTTAAAAAAATAATACAGATAGAGCTTAAAAACTAGGCACCAAGTTACTGGGCATTAAAATAATTTTCAATTATCAATTCAATTATCACATTATTCAATTATACGCTACCTCCTCAAGTACCGTAATAAAGACCTTTAATCTGATGTGTATATGAATCTAGCTTACATTTAAGATTTTCTTCTGAATCCGAGTGAGCCCCCCTGGGGAGGTACGTAGCGTATCCCTGAATAATATTATGAAACGGTTTTTATCCTCAGTAACTTTATGTCAAACTTGGTAGCTTTACCTTAATTATTCTTTGAAATATTTAACCGTCTTGGAACGTTTTTTCCACCTTGTATGGTACGCACACATACATATGAACGGATAGTGTTTTTAGCCCATAGAGACATCAAAACCAAATAATAAACCGGTCCCGTTCCCCAGGTTTTGGTCTTACCACAGCTACAATAATTTAGCTTCTTGGAAAATTCGCTGACAGTAAACTTTCATTGTTCTGAAAATGGATCCAACCAACCTTTTTGATGGCATTTTGCCTTCATTGTAACAATTCCTTCGAAAATAACCAGGTGTGCGGTCTCAGGTCCGCCAATTGAGCAGAGTGAACATAATAGTAAACAAATAGTTTCTTTTAGCGAATTTCCCTATAGGGAAGTAGCTATTACCGTAGGTGGCACGGTAAGACCTAGACCCGGGACCGATTTACTTTTTCATTTTGATGTCCCCAGAGGCCAAAAACACCATTCGTTCAAATTTTTATATATGTATATATATATATAGACATATATATATATATATATATACACGTCCGTGAACGCGATAACTTGAGTAATTTTTGTCCGATTTTGATGAAATTTGGTTTAAAGGTGTAAAGCGGGATAAACTTGAATGAGTTCGCGAACCAGCACGATCGGACCATGGGAATGGGGCTTTACAGGGGGTTTTATGGGGTAAAAATTGGTTTTTCTCACTTTTGACCCTCAAAACACAAAATTTCCCGATTTCTCTTTAGACCGTTTTAAAGAGCTTAAAAAAACAGATAATTTAGTATATAAAAGTATTTTTGTTCGATTATTAGTAACGGAGAAAATTAAAAAAATTGTAAATTTAAAATTCCCATGTTATTCTTATGGAGAATATTGTCAAATGTTGTAGTTTGCTTGTTTATGGATATATCTTGATCAAACTTGGCAAATTTATTTATTTTGTACTAAGCTATCAATATTTTACTCAAAAACACACTTTATTAGTTTCCTTGTAGCAGCAAACCTAGGTACTCGTTAAACCTAATGTTATTAAAATATATTTAACTGAAAATCAATTCAGACAAATGGAAATTCGCTTAGTCGGCAGGTTTGCTGCGGCGGGGGTATTTCTCAATAAAATATGAATTTAAAAAAATAGACTACTGTTTAACAAAACAATTTAAACAACTTTTAATAATCAATAAAATACTTAATCATACAAATACCTAACGTCTACTTACTGTTTTTGTTTATGCTTGCAACTCTCCCTATCAAAAATGACTCAATTAGCAAGCCCTCGGGAGTTTGACTTGTTCTTACTCTCGACAACGCTAGATAATATAATCCGAAAATTTTGATTTTCCCAGGTCCACCACAGTTTGATCTATATTCATGCACATTTTACTCAATTCAATTTAAAGAAAGCAGTTATTTACAGGGTGGCTGAAAAGTAACTTGCACCCCCCCTTAACTTTCAACCATTTGAGAATTGAGATATTAGAAATCTGTTTGCGGCAACCTTCTTAGATATGAGGGACTACAATAATTATGGTCAATTTTAAAAATTTTGCCCGTGGGGGTAGGGGGTTTCTCAAAATTTTCAAATGAAAAGTATAGTCGAGTTTGGTATCATTCTACAGGTCTTGACGAAACATAAAAATTGACATAAAGAAAACCAAAATCGGGCCACTAATAACAAAATGGCACCCTAAAGCGTTTCAAATCCAAATAACCATGAGGATGGCAAAAAATAACTTGCACCCCCTTTAACTTTTTAACTATTTCAGATATTTGAAATCGGTTTGCAGCAACTAGTTTGGATATGAAAGGCCACAATAATTATGGTCAATTTTGAAAATTTTGCCCTTAGGGGTAGCGGGGTTAGGCGGTACCGGTAACTCAAAATTTTCAAATAGCAAGTATAGTCGAGTTTGGTATCATTTTGCAGGTCTTAACGTAACATAACAATTAACATAAAGAAAATAGAAATCGGACCATTAATAACAAAATGGCAGCTGAAAATTACTTTTAATAACCATTGTCTTAACCATTTTTAGCTGTCATTTTGTTATTAATGGTCCCATTTCTATTTTCTTTATCTTAATTGTTATGTTTTGTCAAGACCTGTAAACTGATACCAAACTCGAATACACCTGCTGTTTGAAAAATTTGAGCTACCCCCTACCCCTGCTACCCCTAAGGGCAAAATTTTCAAAACTGACGATAATTATTGTAGCCCCTCATATCTAAGAAGGTTGCCGCAAACAGATTTCAAATATCTCAAATGGTTGAAAAGTTAAGAGGGGGTGCAAGTTACTTTTCAGCGGCAGCTTGTTTGGATATGAAGGGCTACAATCCTTCATATCCAAACAAGCTGCCGCAAACCGATTTCAAATATCTCAAATCGTTAAAAAGTTTAATGGTGTGCAAGTTAATTTTCTGCCACCCTCATGGTTATTTGGATTTGAAACATTTTGTTATTAGTGGGCCGATTTTGGTTTTCTTTATGTCAATTTCTATGCTTTGTCAAGACCTGTTAAATGATACCAAACTCGACTATACTTGTCTTTTGAAAATTTTGAGCTACCCCGTACCCCCACTACCCCTAAGGGCAAAATTTTCAAAATTGACCATAATTATTGTAGCCCCTCATATCTAAGAAGGTTACCGCAAACAGATTTCAAATATCTCAAATGGTTGAAAAGTTAAGAGGGGGTGCAAGTTACTTTTCAGCCACTCTGTATAATGAATAGGTAACAACTCGTTGTACAAAGTGGGTACAATGCAATTTTCAAATTGCACTAAAATCCAAATAAAGAACTATTTAAGGTAATTTTCACTGTTGGCAAATTTGTATATGATGACCAATGCTACCATTACTTAGGACTGCAAAATTCCAAAGATTATTCCGAAGTATCACGCGACAACCTTTTTAAGTAAAGAGGTGTTGTTAAGGCCTTGGCTGTCATTTTATGTCACGTTATAACAGCACTCGTGTTGTTATTTGCAGTTATACACGATACAGGTAGATTAAGGCTTCTTAGCTTGTGCTTATTACAGCATAATAGATTTATTTCATGTAATAATACGTGTAGTATTTTTGAATTTGAGTGAAACAATATAGTCAACATCAACACACTCAAATGTCGCCAACACATACACTCTACAACATGCTTCAAACATGATGAGAAGCTCATTACACTGTTTAAATTCAAAGGTAAAACGGTATGTTTCTAATAGCCTATCAAGACGAATATTGGTTTGCTGATAAAAATATTTTATCAAAATATGCGCACGTTTCTAGCATGAATCATGGTTTTTTAAACCAGTTATTATTTTCAGTCGATAGTAAAACAATGTTTTTATAATAGCCTATTCGTAGCTTTGTATAAACATTGGCTTGACAGGTTGCTAGTAAGTCAAAATAGTTGATTTAAATTATTTGTTCTAGTTCCAATTTAGATCAAATAAAGAAAATCTGTAAAATAATGTAGGCCTAGACCTATTTGATCAGTGATATTTTCCTAATGTCTGTAAGGTAATACTTTCTGTATGTTCTTTGATCAATTGTTTCCAACCGGATGCTTTTCCCTTTGTAGCCTACCTTACTGTATTTAGATCATATTAGTATGCTAAGAATTATCTTAACATTTATGTTGTTATCTCATAACTATCATAGCAACCTAAAAGGCTAATGTTACAAATTGAAAAATGTTATATTAGTGTTAAACTGTACAGGCATTACCAAACTGAAATTCTTTTGTTTAATAACATGTACACTGTTTGTCGAAACAACCCTGGTAGGTTTGGCTTCAATATGTTTAGCCGTTATTGAGTGATTCGATTACATAGTTTGCATTACAGCTTCACTCACTCTGCTCAATGAAAAAACATATTAGACACTGTTGTTTGCTCTGTCAAACCTTTCAGCTTTGATAACTCAAATTAAAAAATGATATCGTTGTATATGAGGCATATACAACTAACTGTCTATTAATTTTGATCTCCCTTCGCCAAAAAATCTCGCATACTATTTTATTGTCATAAGGGACATGTCTCTTTATAGGAATTATTTATCTGATTTTTTGTTTTTGAAAGGTCTGGAGGACAATGGAGGAATGATGTTGGGATCTGCAGCCTCTGAGGGAATGGTTTCTACTCCAGGAACTATGCCATATTCTACTGAAGACGATACAGGGTAAAATATCAGTGTTCCTATGAAAGCTCAAATGTAAATAATAGTTTTCAACTAAACATTTTTCAATACCAATTTGTGAAATCCTATGCCCTACGGGGCTTCAAATAATCCATGTTATTTTTATGAGTATTCATATTTAAAACAGGGTGTCTAGTCGGGAAAAACAGGAAAGTCGGGAATTAGTATTTTTTTTTTTTCAAAATGGTATTGAAAAGTCGGGATTTAGTCTTTATTTTGATATCAAAGTCAAGAATTTTCATGATTTTTCTGCGATCGCGCTGGACGATAATCGTGTTTCCGTGACCGCAGGAGACGAAATGATGTCTACGCGACCGCTGGAGGTGTTTATTAAGCCGCAATCGTGCTAGACGACAGTTACGTTATCGTGACTGCGGGGAAAATGATCATGAATTTTCTGCGATCGCGCAAGATGATGATGTCTACACAGCCGCGTAAGATGTTCACGATTTTGCCGCGATCGTGGACGACGATGATGACGTTTCCGTTACCGCAGGAGTCAATGATGTCAACATGGCCGCGGGAAATGTTCATGATTTTGCCATGATGACGATGACGTTTCAGTGACCACGGGAATCAATGATAATGTCTACACGGCCGCGGAAAATGTTCAAATTTTGTATCGTTTGCAGACGACAATGACGTTTCTGTGACCGCCGGAGACGACGATGATATCTACACGGCCGCGGACCACGGCGATGAAGTTTCTGTAACCGTGGGTATTAAATGATGATGGATGATGTCTACTCGACCTGCGTGATGTAAAAACCCCATGTAACACTTGTAACGTAAATAGCTATTATCTTTTTTTCAAAAGCTGATATTGTTTTTTAGTATTTTCTACTTGCTAATAACCGCATGTGGAAGTTGAAACTGGCAAAATTCAATGGAAATTCTTGAAATGTATTTCAACAAGGTAGGCCTAGGTGATGTTTAGTTGAATCTCACCCAAAAGTTTATAGTTAGTTGTCTTCACTTCAAATAAATATATTTCTTGATGCTTGGATGATAACAAGTAATTGTGGCAAGTATTGGTGTTCAAATACTGCACACAGTTGCAGCAATACTTCCAAATTTTGGATCAAACATTCAAATTTCAATATTTTCAAAATTAGACTTCTTTCTTCTTCTTGGATTACAATGGAAGTGAATAATCATCTTGGTGTAAATTTTAACTCACATCTGTCACGACAATTGGTTACCACTGGTTTCTTGATGTCACTCACTATTCACTGTTAGGGTTGGCTGATATTTATTATAACAAGGGTGACCATGATTTATTTTTGCTCTTAATCACAATAGAAAAAAAAATTAAAGAAAAAAATTCTTTAAAGAATTTAAAATGTAGAAACAACTTTCAGTTATAACAAATTTTAGCTCATTAAATAATAAATGGCAATGTTTGAGGTGAATATGAAATATGGATAATTTACAAAAGGTAAAATCGTTTGCTATTAGTCCACACGGCCACGGGAAATGTTCATAATTTTGCCGCGTTCGCAAACGACGACAATGGCGTTTTTCAGATGGTGGAAGACGTTGATGATATCTTTAAGAGTGAATAAGATATACATGATTTAGCCGTGGTCACGTAAATGTCGACATCTTTTTCCGCGATTGCGGCTAAATCATGTATATCTTATTCACTCCAGAAGATATCATCAACGTCTCCCACGGTCACGGAATCCCGGTCCTTATCCAACCCCTAACAATTTTTCAGCTCCACACGCTCACAGTCACACAGTAAATAGTTTAAACCTCTTAAACAGGTTGTGAGTCAGTTCTCAGACTACTTAAACACTTAAACATGATTGAAGAGGCTACAGGTTTAATAAGTTTAAGTGTTGCTGTGATGAGGTATTCCTTCCTGTATGATGTAACAGTATCTGTTCTGTTTTTACCACATGTTATTTCAGTGTGTAACTTCAACTTTCAGTGTGTAATTTCAGAGTTTATAATAATTGCTATCAATGTATGTTAAGAGATGAAGATGGCTCCATTCTTATTCATCACATGGACATAAAAGAACCCTTGTCAAACTTAAAAGTGGCTCTAGAAGAAGTTCATGGAATCTCTTTGGAGGGATATGACTTCTATCTTCAAGACACAACATTGGTATGTTTTATATTATTTGTGCCATTATTAGTATGCTTTATTATTATTATTTGTGCTGTTAAATTTAATGCTTGATATGACTTAGCCTATTGTAAAATTTCTGTATTTTAATGGCCAAAAAAATTATTTGATTTTAATAATTGCTACAAATTTTCTAATCTTTAGGATGATCAATTTGCTAACATAATGTAGGTTTATTCTTTGTAATTTTGCATATAGTTTGCAACAGTTTGATGCAGTCTCTAGGTTTATAGTTAAAGTAAAAGCTTGCTCTGTAATAAGAATTTGGATAGCTGGTATAGCTTGTCATATCATTATTTAATTCCTTAGACATCAAGATATTAAATAAATATAATTAACAACATCAAAACAATAAATATAATTAACTTAGCCATTGAGGTTGTTAAAAGGAATTAATTGTGTTGAATTATAATTATTGTCAGGTGTACCTACTAGTTCACAGTATTCTTGTTGTGTAGTTAAGAGCCATTTAGTATTTTCTACTTTTCTTGTAATCTTGTAAACTTAGTGTAAATAGTCTTGTTTGTTAGGGGCAGAGAATGGTTAACTAAACATGTAGGCTCAACATCATTCTATAATGACCAATAGCTAATCCCTCATACTTGCTGCTGACGAAAGAATTTCACTCTAAACTAGATTTTGGCGAATAACCATATAGGGAATAAGCTATTACTGTATGTCTCATGGTAAGACCTAGACCTGTGACCAATTTTGTGTTTTGAGGTTCCCAGAGACCAAAAACACCCTCCGTTCAAATTTATATATATATTTATAATTATAAGTATATATGTGTCCGGTAGCGCGATAATTCAAGCAAAAATGATCAGATTGGGATGGAATTTGGTACACATAAGTAAACCTATGTTTATTTGAGCGAGTTCGCAAACCAGCTTGATTGGACTTGGATGGGCTTATGGGTCGTTTTATGGAGTAAAAATTGGGTCTTCCCATTTTTACCCTGAAAACACAACACATCACAATTTATTTTCAAACCACTTTGTAGAGCTAAAAAAATTTTATATTGAAGCATTGTTGTATGCTTAACAGTTAAGGTTATAGTTTAAAAATTTTTAATTCCCATTTTATTCTTATGAAGAATTATGAAGAAATTGTTGTAGTTTGATTGTTTATGAATATATTTTAGTGATGGTTGGATCCGGATATCGGACTACCAGATCCGCCGGATCCGAGTTAGAACCGGCACCCGATTGGATCCAAAAAATTCCGGATCTTGGGCTGGATCCGGTTTTGATAGATCTGATTTTTACCGATTTTTTTACTAACACAAAGCTGTCTACCAATTTTTTCCCAATTTTTTTTACTAACACAAAGCTGTATGTATCCATGTACAAGACTATCTGTGACTGTGTACTAGAAGACTATCTGTGTCTGTGTACAAGAAGGCTATCTGTGTTAGTGATGGACAAGACCCGAAACTTAAAGATTTTTTTATCCCGAAGCTTCAGGCGGGATTGAAATACTAACGGGATATTTTCGAGACGAGATGGTGGGCAGTTAGCTAATCATCCAGATACAAAACTAAAAAGTAGAGGTGTGCGGATATCCAAAAAATCGGGTCGGATTGGGTACGGCAAGATACATACCCTTGTTATTTACATCAAGAGACTAACACCGAGACATGGCCTTGACATATAAGTTATTTGCATAAAGAAACAAACACTGAGACATGGCCTTGCCGTATAAGTTATTTGCATCAAGAAACAAACACTGAGACATGGCCTTGTCATATAAGTTTTTTGCATCAAGAGACAAACACAGAGACTTAGCCTTGACATATAAGTTATGTGCATCAAGAGGCAAACAGTGAGACACGGCCTTGCCATATAAGTTATTTGCATCAAGAGACAAACACTATGGCCTTGACATATAAGTTATTTGCATAAAGAAACAAACACTGAGACATGGTCTTGCCGTATAAGTTATTTGCATAAAGAAACAAACACTGAGACATGGTCTTGCCGTATAAGTTATTTGCATCAAGAAACAAACACTGAGACATGGCCTTGCCGTATAAGTTATTTGCATAAAGAAACAAACACTGAGACATGGTCTTGCCGTATAAGTTATTTGCATCAAGAAACAAACACTGAGACATGGCCTTGTCATATAAGATATTTTCATCAAGAGACAAACACCAAGACATGGCCTTGCCATATAAATTATTTGCATCAAGAGACAAACACTGAGACATGGCCTTGCCATATAATTTTTTTGCATCAAGAGACAAACACAGAGACTTAGCCTTGACATATAAGTTAAGTGCATCAAGAGACAAACACTATGGCCTTGCCATATAAGTTATTTGCATAAAGAAACAAACACTGAGACATGGTCTTGCCGTATAAGTTATTTGCATAAAGAAACAAACACTGAGACATGGTCTTGCCGTATAAGTTATTTGCATCAAGAAACAAACACTGAGACATGGCCTTGTCATATAAGATATTTTCATCAAGAGACAAACACCAAGACATGGCCTTACCATATAAATTATTTGCATCAAGAGACAAACACTGAGACATGGCCTTGCCATATAATTTTTTTGCATCAAGAGACAAACACAGAGACTTAGCCTTGACATATAAGTTAAGTGCATCAAGAGGCAAACAGTGAGTCACGGCCTTGCCATATAAGTTATTTGCGTCAAGAGACAAACACTGAGACATGGCCTTGCCATATAATTTATTTGCTTCAAGAGACAAACACCGAGACATGGCCTTGCCATTTAAGTTATTTTCATCAAGAGACAAACACTGAGACATGGCCTTGCCATATAAGTTATTTGCATCAAGAGATAAACAGTGAGACATGGCATTGCCATATAAGTTATCTTCATCAAGAGACAAACACTGAGACATGGCCTTGCCATATAAGTTATTTTCATAAAGAAACAAACATAGAGACATGGCCTTGCCATATAAGTTATTTCCTGTGAGAGACAAACACTGAGACATGGCCTTGTCATATAATTTATCTGCAAACACAGAGACATGGCCTTGCCATATAATTTATTTACATCAAGAGACAAACACTGAGACATGGCCTTGTCATATAAGTTATCTGCATCAAGAAACAAACACTGAGACATGGCCTTGCCATATAATTTATTTGCATCAAGAGACAAACACCGAGACATAGCCTTGCCATACAAGTAATTGGAACCAAGAGACAAACAGTGAGACATGGCCTTGCCATATAAGTTATTTGCACCAAGAGACAAACAATGAGACATGGCCTTGCCATATAATTTATTTGCATCAAGAGACAAACACCGAGACATAGCCTTGCCATATAAGTTATTTGCATCAAGAGAGAATTAGTGAGACATGGCCTTGCCATATAAATTATTTGCATCAAGAGACAAACACTGAGACATGGCCTTGCCATATAAGTTATTTGCATCAAGAGACAAACACCGAGACATGGCCTTGCCATATAAGTTATTTGCATCAAGAGAGAATTAGTGAGACATGGCCTTGCCATATAAATTATTTGCTTCAAGAGACAAACACTGAGACATGGCCTTGCCATATAATTTATTTGCATCAAGAGACAAACACCGAGACATAGCCTTGCCATATAAGTTATTTGCATCAAGAGAGAATTAGTGAGACATGGCCTTGCCATATAATTTATTTGCATCAAGAGACGAACTCTGAGTTTGAGACATGGCCTTGCCATATAAGTTATTTGCACCAAGAGACAAACCATGAGACATGGCCTTGCCATATAAATTATTTGCATAGACAAACACTGAGACATGGCCTTGCCATATAATTTATTTGCATCAAGAGACAAACACCGAGACATAGCCTTGCCATATAAGTTATTTGCATCAAGAGAGAAATAGTGAGACATGGCCTTGCCATATAATTTATTTGCAACAAGAGACAAACACTATAGCTTTGCCATATAAGTTATTTGCATCAAGAGACAAACACTGAGACATGGCCTTGCCATATAATTTATTTGCATCAAGAGACAAACACCGAGACATAGCCTTCCAATATAAGTTATTTGCATCAAGAGGCAAACACTAAGGCCATGTTAATTCTTTGATATTAATTTTTTTTATTACTGTCCATTAAATCTTGTCCCAAAAAAATCCCATCCCGAGGGAATGGAATGAATCAAATAATATCTTATAATGAATCGTCTTGTCTCGTCTCGAAGTGAAAAATCTAGTCTCGTCCATCACTAATCCGTGTACAAGAAGACTCCTGTAAAATAAGGCAACTTTAAATCAGCAGAAAGCTTTATTATATTGAAACTACATAATGGTTTTTCTGGAAGTCTTTCAATTCATTCCTATAAGTACATTATTTTTTTACTTTTACTACCAGATCCCGTATAAGGTCTCAAAAAGAGCCACTTACCACTTTTATTTTTCCACTTTCAGGCACATTTAGGATTGTTTTCTTTTTCCCAACAGGTTTTTTCTTTCTTATTTGTTTTTTAATTTTTGAAGCCATCCCTTTTCCCCCACCAAGTATTGCTTTAGTTTTCATTATGATAGTAACTGCCAAGGCGGCAGCTCTCTCACCAATACTAGAGTCTGAAGCTTTTACCCTTTCCCAAGCTAATAAGCTGTCAGCCACTGATCTAATTTTACTATCCTTCGATCTTGAGGATGCTATATCGTGTTTTTTTCGTGCAGCATCCAATTTATTTATGCCTGGACCACCCCTTGCTTATCTCTTCCTAAAATTCGTTCCAGGTCCACAGTACTTATAGCCGTGTATGTGAAATTCTACTGGTAAAATATCCTGTGTCTGTGTACAAGAATATTATCTGTGTACATAAAGGTCGAATTAAAAGTCAAGACTCCCCCGTCTAATATTTTCCTAAGTTAGAACACAGTATAGTCTTCTTGTACATAGACACAGGGAATTTTACCTGTAGAACTTCACATACCCGGCTATCAGTACTGTAGACCTGGAACAAATTTAAGGAAGAGA